TTTAAGGAAGTTAGAAGGAGCTGCACCACTAATTCAAAGTGATATAAGTACTTCTGCAATTCCATTGTTATTAGGACACCTAATTAAATGCAGAGCATCCGAGAAAAGCATCGTTGGGCTTGTAAATCTAAAGTGCAGAAGGCCGGGGGAGGAGAAGGAAGTTGCCTGTGTCCTTGATGCTGGGGCTGGGGGTGTCGTGAGCCGTTGTGCCTGTGGGTGAAGGAGGGCAGCTTCTTTCCTCGAGGGGCTGAGTAAGGGGTCAGGCTGGTCACACGGCTGCAGCTGTATCACCCGGCATGGCCTCTGAGTGTTGGGGTACAGGGTGAGGGTGAAGGAGCCAAGGAGAGGCTGCCTTCCCACGGGTGGGGCCATGGCCCTGCTTCCTACCTCCCAACTCCTGGGGCTGGTAGGTTTGCAGAAGGGACAGAGGGTGGGGAATCCAGACTCATGGGCTTAGGTCCCAGCTCTGCCCTGTGCCGAGGGTCTCCAGTGATGCATTCATACCCAGGCCTGTTGCAAATGGACGTCCTTCAGTTCTGCAAACCCACAATGAGGATCCGCTCCATCCCAGGGGACGCTCAGGAGGCACAGGAGGCTTGAGTCCCAGTGCCATCTTATCAGGAGGTGGTCATTCTTTTGGTCATTGACAGAGTACAGCATTTATGGAGCACCTACTGTGTGCCTGCTGGATGCTAGGAATGCAGCACTACATAAGACTGCCAAGACCTGCTCGTAGGTGTGAATGGCTTGGTGAGTCATAAACGGACAAGATATCTTCAGAGAGCGGCCAGGGCTGCAGAGGAAGTAAAATGAGATGATGAGCTAGAAGCTAGACAGGGAGGTCAGAAAGGTGACCAGTGCCCCGAGATGAATTCATTAGCACTCTGTGGGAGGACAGCTGTAAGCGTCACCTGTGCGTGCAAGGTGGACATGACATTCAGACAGGGAGTCTAACTCAGGCTCCAAGATGCGAAGGCTTCCCAAAGGCAAGGAGGACGTCATGAACTAAGCCATCGTCGTATAGGCACCTGCCGTCTGTGCACATCCACTTCACGCCAGGTCCCTGGCCGAGCTCCTCACAGGCGTCATCTCCCACCCCTGCACAGCGAGAGTCGTGGTCCCCTGTGACCGACAGGGAAACTGAGGGTTGGAGAGGAGTCTTTGCCCAAGGTCACAGGGCATGTGAGTGGGCAGATGGGAGTCACACCCAGCTCCCCCTTCCCCACCATGGTGTCCTGGTACCAGTGAGGACTCAGGAGCAGGGAGGGACACTGAGTCTGTCAGGTTCAGCACATGGGCAGTGAAGGAAGCTGGGGTGACGGGCTTCTGAGGAGGAGGCTGTTCCATCAGCTCCTGTCTTGTCTCTGCCCAGTGAACCTCAGGACAGGCAGGACTGGCCGACTGTTAGCACCATGTGGTCTCAGCTAGTGATGGGAACACTAGCAGTTTCTCTCATGTTGAAAAACACAGTGCATTGCTGGCTCCTCCATCAGTATGTCAGTCTCTGCTGCATGTACAGGTCTAGACAAGGTCCTCACTCCCTCACAGGCCTCTGTCACATTACCCAACAGTGGTAGAACCTAGGTTTGAATGTCTGTCTGTCGGAATCCACAGCCTGTGCACTAAAATCCATGCCATGTAAGGTCCTATCCTTGCACCCTCCGCTCACTATTTATATTAGTCTGTTTTCTGCTGCTATTACAAAATACTCAAGACTAGATACCTTATAAAGAAAAGAGGTTTATAATCCCAGAAGCTTAGGAGGCTGGCTGAAGCAGGAGGAGTGCAAGTTCAAAGCCAGCCTCAGCAACTCAGTGAGGCCCTAAGTAATTTAGTGAGACTCCATCTCAAAATTAAAAAGTGAAAACCGCTGGGGCTGGGGCTCAGTAGAAAAGAACCCCTGGGTTCAGTCCCTGGTGTGAAAGACAGAAAGAGAGGGAGGAAGGAAGGGAAAAAGAGGTTTATTGAGCCGCAGTTCCTAAGGTTCAGGGGTGTGGTGCTGCCCTGGATTCTGGAGAGACCTCAGGGTAGATGGCATCACAATGCTGGAGACGTGTTCAAGAGGTAGCGGTCATGGTGACACAGGAAGCTGGTGCGCGTAGAGAGCGGGACACTGTTGCCCAGCAGCCCACTCTGGTGGGAGCTGATGCACGCTGTGGGACATGCTCATCCCGCTGAGGGTGGCACCTGTGACCCCAGTTACCTCCACTAGGCTCTGCCTCTTACATGGCCACGCTGGGGACCAGACCTGCAGCACGGGAACTTTTGGGGTCGCGCTTACACCATAGCTCCTCTCTCCCTGCCCCACAGCAAGGGATGGTGGGTGCCAGGGAAGCATTAGCCCTGGGCTGACCCAGCTTCCAAGCCTGGTGCTGGTCCATCTCACTCCATGACACCTGCGTTCCACAGGGACGTCCCTGGCCTCTGCTCCTGCCTCCGGGGGTGGGCCTCTGCCCCAGGCATTGCCTACTGTTGCTGACCGGCTGCAGCAACAGAATAGCCTCCTTCTCTGAAGCCTCAGTGGTTCCTTGTGACCTCTCATACCTGCTGGCTGCCCGGAGCCGAAGGCTTCTCTGCCTGCGAGGATGGCAGCGAAGCACTGGCGGATGGAGTGCCTGAGACCCCGAGAGGAGACGGGTCCTGCCCCGGCCACACAGCCACACACTCTCCTGTGGAGGCGCAGCAGCCAGGGGACCGCCCGTCTTGCCCCTCGCTCAGGTGCCCTGGGTTTCCACTCTGTTCTGGATACTAAAGTTCAGAAGTCGGTGATGTGGGGGCTGGCAGGGCTTGCAGGTGGGGAGGCTCCCTTCTGAGGCTGAGCGCCGGATGCCTGTGACAGGTGCCTGTCCCACCTCCCACGCCCTGACACCACTGGACATGTGAGCCCACCAGCCAGGGCCTGGGCTTCCTGGAGTGTGAGGCAGAGAGGAGCTGGTCTGCTGCAGGGGTCTGTGCATTAGGACACTCCCCGGGGCACGGGGAGCCAGAGGGTTCCCTAGACAGATGAGCCAGTGACTTCTGAGGGGTGGACCATCGGCTTACGTTTCCTGCTGTGGAAGGAGCCCAAGCCGGGACAATGTCTGGTGCTGGCATGCTACATGGTGGGAGCGGCACCTCTGCACCCACTGGTGAGAAGGGTCCTAAGGGCCTGTCATTCACGGCAGTGGGAGCGGTCGCAGGCCGGGCACTGTGGTGCTCTCCCTGTGCTTGATGAAAACCCACGTGACAACTCCCGTGGCTCCGGTTTGCAGATGGGGAAACTGAGGCTGGGAGATGCGATGGCTGGCACAGCTGTGAGAGCAGAAGTGGCGGTGCCCACCAGGGCTGGTGTCACCAGCCTCCCTGTCCAGGCCTCCATCCGCTGTCCTGAGGCCTGTTGGCCCACGCGGGCTGCCGTAGCAGAGCGCACAGACCCTGCGGCTCCACCAAACAGCAGTTTCTTTTCCAGATTCTGGAGGCTTGAGGCCGAGAGTCAGGGCCCAGCTTGCTCCGGTTCTGGTGAGGGTCTTCCTAGCTTGCAGGTGGCCACCTTTGCCCTGTCCTTGTGTGGAGAAGAGCACGGGCTTTGGGAACACCACTGAACCCCTTCACGAGGCCACCACCCTCTTGGCCTCCTTAAGCCCAGCTGCCTCCTAAGGACCCGATTTCCAGACACAGTCACGTTAGGGATGACGAGGGCATAGGAATGGGGGCAGGCACCGTGACCCACAGCACCTCCAGGTGGCCTCTGCTTGCTCCTGGCTAGCTGCCCCCACCTACCCTCTTGGCTCAATACCCCAACTATCTCCAACCTGGGGGACAGCTGGATTGGGGCCAGCAGGCATGACACGCCCCAGGTCCCTGGCGGATGGAGTGGCTGAGACCCCGAGAGGACACGGGTCCTGGCCCGGCCACACAGCAAGCCCCTGCAGATCCAGGCCCAGAGCCCAGGCCCACCGCCGGGTGCTTCAGTAGGTGTGCCCGGGGGCTCTGCCTGAGCCAGCCTTAAAGGTCACAGTCCAGGCCCTTCAGGGCACTGGAGAGGCCGGCATGGCCAGGGCGGCCTGCCCAGGCCAGCAATGTAACGATTTCCAGCGTGTGCACGCCTCAGCTTCCTTACCACACAAGGTCCCAGGGTCACAGGTTGATGTGGAGAGTCTCGTTGAGATTGGCTCTGGAGTGGGTGTCAGGGCCTGGCCTGCCACTATTTTTGTGGGTGGCCCAGGGCCGTCACGACTCTGCTCCTGACCCCTGTGTCCTCCTGTGACACAGACTCCATAGTGCATGCCCTGCCCTGCTCAGTGCTGACCCTGCTGCTCCAGGTTCTCTGGTGTTGGAAGAGCCACCTCCGTGCCCGAGGGCTGGCTCCCCAACATGGCCATCGCGGGAGCCTTTGGGGACTGGAGTTTCCCCATCTGTAAAACAGGAGCAGGAAGAGCTTGGAGAGCTCTCCAGGCGGCCTGCCAAGGAGGGAAGTGAGCAACACGCGCGCTTGGCCTGCGCCAGACACTTAAACCCTGGCTGCTCAACACGTGCTTTGAGGAGCAGGCACCAGCTGACCTGAGCTCGTCAGAGACGCAGAACCCCAGGCTCCAGCCCTGTTGCAGCATCCCACAGTGATCAGGGTCCCTAGCCAGTGCAGGTGCATGTTGAGGTTTGAGAAAAAGATTTCAGCCAGCTGCAGGTACCCTTCTAGGACGCTGGTAACTCACTTGTGGTCAGTACCAACGAGGGCCAGGAGTCAACTGGGCACATCTGGACCTCTTTAGACTCCCGCTCTCCTAACGGTAACATTAGTTGGAGCCATATCAGCCTGGCAGTTTTCAAACTGTGCTTCATGGCCCCCCTGGGAGCCTTGGGGCAGCCACGCGGACTGTGTGGGAAGCTAAGTGGGCTGGGGGTCCTGCTGTCCACTCCATACACAGCCTTGCGTGTCTCTGTGGTGCCTGTGCTGGTGGCTTCCCAGCTGGGCCTGGGAGCAGGGATGGTGTCCACTCTGAGCAGACTCTCCTCTTTCCTAGGGAGCGCTTGAAGCGCAGCCAGAAGAGCACCAAGGTGGAGGGTCCAGAGCCAGCGCCAGCTGAGGCCTCGCTGAGTGCCGAACAGGGTACGATGACGGAGGTGAAGGTCAAGACAGAGCTGCCCGACGACTACATCCAGGAGGTGATCTGGCAGGGTGAGGCCAAGGAGGAGAAGAAGGTGGTCAGCAAGGACGGGACAGGCGACGTGCCTGCAGAGATCTGCGTGGTGATTGGCGGTGTCCGCAACCAGCAGACCCTTGGTGAGCACCCAGCCGAGAGGCTCAGGGCCAGGACCAGGGCGGGAATGTGGGGCTAGCATCGTGGGGGAGTGGGCCTGGCCTCTGCCCCGTCCTCTGCTGAGAGCCCCCGCAGCAGCCCGGGCAAGCCTGTGCTCCTGAGACCCACCTCTGCGTCTGTCTACAGGCTCTTTTCTTCCTGCCCCGGCGGGCAAAACCCTACCCACCCGTCGGGCCCTTGTGGCAGCCAAAGGCTCAGGACCTTCTGTGGGCCTCCCGAGTCCCTTGTGCCCCTGTGGGGCCGGAGTCTCCCTGGTCACTTGGCTGTCTGCCTTTCTCCCTCTTTGGTTTGATCACGGTTCCTGGGGGCAGTTCCCAGCTCAGGTCCTGCCCGAGCAGACTCCTGGTCAGGATCAGATTAGTGACACCACACCTTGCCCTCTTAGAGGAGCTGTAGAAGCCAGCTTTCTAGCAGCGCTTTCTCTTCCTTCCTCTCCCGGGGTCCCCCACAGGGCTCCCTGCGCCACTGCCAGGCTCACAGCTCAGCTGCCCACAAGCCCAACAAACAGGCTTGTTTCGTGTAAGTAGAGCAGAGCCAGCAGGACAGGTGGCGGGGACCGGTCCAGTTGGAGCCCCTCACCCTACGCACGTGGGGTGGCTGCTCCTCAGCTGGTCTCTGAGCTCAGCGTTGCCAGGTCTCTCACAAATTGCACGCCAGGAATGAGCATTGTGATGTGAATTCTTTCGGTTTTCAGTGTTGGCAACAAATTGCACTTTTGAAATCTGCCAAACAGAACATATTTGTGGGTCTGAGTCTTTCCAAGGGCCACAAGTTTGCCACCCCTGCTCTGTGAAACGAAGCCCACGGTCCTCAGCCTGACTTTGTCGCCGTGTCTGGTCAGACCCTGGGCTTCCGTTTCCATCCGCGCCGCCCTCCACGTTTCCTGAGCTTGCTGTGTCTTTGGGAGTGCTGTGTCTTTGGGACTGCAGGACCCCCAGCCCACTTAGCTTCCCACACAGTCCGGGTGGCTGCCCCAAGGCTCCCAGGGGGGCCATGAAGCACAGTTTGTCACTGCCTGCCCTTCCTGGCTGGTCTGGCCTGCCTTTTTCTAAGTTCCTGCATCTGCCTGGTGTGCATCCTGTGTGGCCCTCAGGGCCTCATGGTGAAGGTCCCTGTATCTGTTCCACCTGGTTCCACTCAGGTCCTATGGCCTTTTCTCCCCAGCCACTGGGCTCGGCCTCGTGCCCCCTTCCCAACCGTCCCTCTGCTGTTTGGGCTGTGATCGGCCCTGCCTGGGTCGTGCGGCACCTCTGACACCTGTGCTTATGTGTCTCCCTGCCCGGCATCACCTGCTCTGCACGCTGGCTCCAGGGAGGCCTTGCCAAAGCAGACCCATGCAGCTCCCTGCTGGTCAGCCTCAGGACCGACTCTTCCGTCTCTGAGTTGAAGCTATGGCCTCAGGTCCTCCGTAGCCCCAGGTCCTGCCCATCTTTCCATACCTCTCATTCCAGAGCAGTCTGCTCTTCTCTGCTCCTGCTGTTCCCTCTCCTGGGAATGCCTTTGCCCTTTTTCCAAATCACCCCACACCTGTGCCATCTGCTTTCAGAAGCGTCCCCTGATCCCACTAGTCAGAAGGTCTGTTTCCACCCTGGCCCTCACCAGGACACCTTCCCACTGTCTCTTTACAGTAGAGGCCTTCACTGTGTCTGTCTCAGCCAGGTGACTGGTAACCCCTGAAGTTTGGAGCTCCAGGACCTGCCTGATTTCTGTCCCCTTGCTCCCCACTCCTGCCCATGGTACCTAGCAAGGTCCTGGCTTCCGGAAGTGATGTTCACAGTGGTACTGTAACTGCTGGAATGGGGCTGGGTTATGGGCCCCTGGGTACAGTCATCCTTCCACCGCCGGAATCTGGGTGAACAGAGTGTCTGGAACAGGTGTTTAGTGCCAAAGGAGACAAGCCTTTTCAGGGGTTGGACCTGCCCTCCTGCCGTCAGTAGTCACCCCCACCCCCGGGGTCAAGGACTGAGTTCCCCCTGGGTGGAATTGTTCCTGGGGAGAGGACATGCCCTTGCTCTCTGTGGTGTGCGCCGTGAGACTCACCAGACCCAGCAGCTGTCTCATGCTTACCAGGAGACGCCCAGTGAGGGCAGCAGAATCCGAGTCTTTGAGTGGAGCCGGGGCCCAGGTCCACCAGGGAAGCCTCGAGCATCCAAGCCAGGGAAGCGTTGGAGCCTTCCTGTGACGCTGCCTGCACAGGGACAGTCCCTGGGTCCTGGAGCCTTGTGCCGGCCACGATGGGGTTTCCATCTCAGCTGCTGCTCTGCAGTGAGGCCCCTGGCCCGTCTGTCTTACTGTCCTCATCTGTGAAATGAGGCCTAGTTCCTGCCCCAGCCACCTCCTGGGTGTGGGAATCCAAACTGGCACTGAGGGCACGGTGTTGCCCGAGAGTGAGCTCCGCTGCTCTGACTGCGAGGGGATCGAGGGGATCGGGCCCCTGACGTGGGAGTGTGGTGCCCCGGGCAAGTTTCTCGCCCTCTCCGTGTCTCAGTGCCACAGCTGCAAATTCCCCGGGTTACGTGAGGACCGGAAGAAGCCTAGGCACAGCGCTTGACAGGGTGCTTAGTCAGCAGCCCAGGGCGGTAACGTTGGTGCTGTGCAGAGTGGAAAGTGCTCTTCAAGGTGCGGCACAGTCACGGTCCCTGCTTCCCGCCCCCGACCTCACAGGTCAGCCAGTGTGATGTGGGGAAGTACGGCTGGGGAGGAAAGTTGGCACTGGGCGAGTCCCTGACTTCCCTCCGGTACTTGAGTATCTTGTGAAGCATCTAAGTAACCTGGTCTTGGCACCAGGTTTGGAAGAAGTTGTAGGGGCCAAGGGCAGGTTGGGGTGGAGCCGCCATTTTGGAGGCTGTACCACAGCAGGGCCAGAGCGCTCCCTGCTGGCCCCGGGGGCTCATCTCACCTCCCCCAGGGCAGGCTTCCTGCTGGGGGGCCTGGTTGCAACTGAGGAGGAGGCTGGCTTGGCCTTTTAGGAAAGAAAGGCATTAAAGAAAAAGAAAAGAAAAAGTCAGTGTGAGAATGGAACCTTTCAACTTGTCTCATCTCCAGGTAGCAAATAGATCTCACCTGGTGGGTCAAGTCCAAGCGGTTGCTGCTGGGAATTCTGTGTTGAGGACTTAGGGTGTGGCATGATCGATGGTTGATGTCTGGCCTGGATCCAGGAGTAGTGGTGGGGCGACATGTGCTATCCATTTAACATCCTTGACCCCCTCATTTTATAGAGAGGCAGCTGAAGGCCCGTGGAAAGGAAGAGACCTTCCCAGAGTCACATAGCAAGGTGGTGACACTCACCTCATAGAACCTATCTTGCACCCGCTTCTGAAAGTCAAGCAAGGAGGGAACCACCCATGGGGTCCTGGAGAGGTGCGGGCTGGTTAGAGCCAGGTCTTTAAGTGGGCTCATGCCACAGGGTACCCCTGTGCCCCGGTGGCCCAGCCTGAGGAGTTGATGTGGCCCAAGGCACTGGGCGGGGTGTGTCAGGGCTTCGCTCACCCAGCCGCGCTGGGGCTCAGAGGTGGGCTTCCTTGCTGAGTGGGAGAGAGTTCCTGCCTGGTCACCGGAGCTGCGCCACAAGGAGCCTCCCAAGTCCTCTCTGGGCCTTTGAAGGCCATCAGGCCAACAGTGTTCCCAGCAGCACCGACATTGTCCAGGGCGCTGGCGTTGCAGCTCCTTGGGCAGGGGCCAGGGGCATCGGTGCCCAGAGTCTGGCTGCCACATCTGTAGAGCTGCTGCCTCCACACCATGCTTCCCAGGGAAGCCCTTGGGCTGAGAAGGGTGTTTCTCACTCTTAAAAAGAACACCACTGCCAGCTGGCCGCTGTGGCTCAGGCCTGTGATTCCAGCACTTGGGAGGCTGAGGCAGGAGGATCACAAGTTTGAGGCCAACCTGGCAATTTAGCAAGGCCCTGTTTCAAATGAAAAATAAAAAGGGGTTGGGGGTGTAGTCCAGTAGGGTTTCATCCCTAGCCCTGAAAAAAAAAATCACAGCCATTGGAGCTGGTGTGGGGTTTGGGGGCAAGACCCCCCCAGTTTTTTTTTTTTTTTTTGAGCAAAAAAAGTACAGATAATCCTGAACTTGACAGCTTTGTCAGGTAAAACCAGAAGCGAAAGAAAGCAAGTTGACAGACCCCGTGCCCACTTGACAGACTCCGGGCAGAGCTGCCCGACAACCTTGTGCCGTGGCTGGACCATGCTTGAGGTCTCAGGAGCTCCTCTCTGAGGAGTGATAAACACAGGCACTGTCCAATTCCACGATCATGGTATTGCCAACTGATCACCGTACAGCAGTGTACCTCAGAATCCTGCTCAACCCGGCACACCCAGCAGTCACTGCCCATCAGCTAGAAACGGAGAATTGGAGTGGAAGTCTCCTTAGGCCAGACCAACCCAAGGCAATGGGTTTACACAGGACAACCGGCTGTGGACCATTCCCTGCTTCCAAGAGGTAGGGACGCCAGCCCTGCTCGTGATGGTCAGAATGTACCATCAGCAGTGAAGGCTGTCCTCTGAGCCATGGGACCGTTGGTCCTTAATCCTGAGGAAGGCCAGGTGAGGGGCTGGGGGCTGCAGGTACATGGAGACCAGGGGTCTGGGCTTTCTGGTGTGGGGCAGGGGCCCACAGAGGGAGCCAGCCATCCAGCTCAGCTGGGCCCCACTTCTCATGAAGGACCAGCCAGGTTATTCCAGAGAGTTAACTGTGCGGAGGATTCCTGTGGAAGAGCTGGGACAGTGTGCCCTGAGGAGGGCGGTGTCCGGGGAGGGGAGAGGGGGAGATGGAGCAGACATGTTCTGGGTGGGCCCAGCCAGCACAGGGACGTCACCAGGAGGCGATTTCAGTTCAGTAACAAGGACATGGTGACTTTGGAACTGTTTGGTACCCCGATATAAGTGTGTAAGGGAGATGGGTGAGGAGGGGGGTCACTGGGTGGGCTCTAGGAATGGAGTCGGGGGTCAGGAATCTGCAGGGTTTCTAGGCAAGTTCTGAGCCCCCAGGGAGGGGGCACAGATGAGGAGGGAGCCTCAGTCCCGAGGTGGCAGCTGGGCTGGGCTCTGGGAGGAACAGCAGAGAGCTTGACAGCCACTCAGGCGCGGCCACGTGGGTTTCGGCCTGTGACAAGCTCAGGCGGTGGAGGTGCCAGGTCCTGCTTTGCAGAGCCAGCTGACAGCTAGTGTCCTGTTTCAATGGGTTGTTGGCAGGGCTTCGCGCCCAAGCCTGCCAGAACCAGCGCGCAGCCCTTTGCAGCGCCACGCGGAAAGAAGGGGTCCTGGCTGCCCTCCAGGCCTGTCTGGTCTCTGCAACGACTCTCCATCTGGTGGTCTCGAGTGGGAAGGGACCTGTTGGAGGATCCCTGTTGGAAAGGGTTCCTGGACTGCACGTCAGGGGACGGCCTCACATGCCGAGGGTTCAAGGACAAGCCAGGGGGCCAGGAACGGGAGTTCCTAAGCTCCTGAGTGTCGGTGGGTGGGGTAATGTCTGCCTGTCTTTCCAGAGGGAACCTTAGGGCAGAGAGGAGTGGTAGACATGAAAAGGGCTTCAGGGAGAGCCGAAAGCAAGCCAGATGCAGGCATCAGGACTTTGACACCTCGGGGGTGACCCGGGAATGATAGGAACTAAAAAGCCAGTGGGTCACACATTTTTTTGTTCCCTCCTAAAAGAGTGTTGAGACGCAGTGTGTTTGTTCTTTCACATTTTTGAGTTGACATCTAATGTTTTTATCCAAAGTTTAAGTAATTGCAAAGGATACGGTTTCTGGAATACTGTATTTCAAAAAGGGTGGCACTTTGGAAATAAAGCTGTGAACCTCTCTTTTAAATGTATCCAAGGGAATCCGTGAAACAGCATTGCTATTTGAATATCCGCCATCGTCACTTAAAAAACATAAGAGCAAGCTCATCTTTAACAGCCAAGTATTTTATATCTTTCCTTTTTCTCCTTGAACTCTTATTTCCAGTCCACTTCCCCCCGGGGTTTTATCCTAATGTAATATATTTTTTATGCTTCAAAGTCTTTTATTGATCACTGTTTCACACTCATCCACCACAACAAGAGGTACATAAATTGAAGTAGAAATTTCTGGAAAAAAAAATCCCTGAGATCATAAAGCCCTGCATTTTAAAGCACAATTTTTTTCAGATTGAGTTGTTATTAGCATGCAATTCGTCAAAAGCAAATTTAGATAAATAGCAAATGTAAAAGTAAAAAATTATCGAAAGCACACTTCCCGATGGAATGGCTGGGGCTTGCTTGCTTCCTCATTTGGCTCCTGTATCTGCAAATTCCTATTTCTTGTTGCTGGGATGAGACAAGACAGCCTTCGTCTTATTCCTGGTCTTTGGTGTTCGCAGGGGGATGTGCTTAGGAAGCTCGAGTGTGTAAATCAGGAGCTGGCGATGGCTGGCGCTCTGTCGGTGGTGTCACTCAGCAATGTCACTCTGTTCTTTGAACTTCTTCTAAGATGTATGCCAAAAATCACGCAGGGGTCTGTGATCTGACGGGATTTTTAACGGTCTCTTCGCTAACAGCTCTATTAGATCCTTCTTTATTGGGGGTGAAAGCAGAGAATTGGATTCAAAATGGAATTGTCCCCAGTCATTAGATCCAGTCACCTTCCAAACCCTGGTATTCCGGGTCTTCTCTGTGCTTGGAGCCCTGAGGCTTTCCCCGGGGAGGCACTGTGGCAGGATTAGGGTGGGGAAAGGATGCCCTTTGGTTTTAAGGGGGAGAAGGGTGAGAGGAGGGTGTGGGGGGGACCAGTGCGTGGGCCTCCACCTGCTACCAGCCCCGGTGCATTGATTTTAGGAAAGAGTCTGTTTGGAAGTTGATGTCCGGAGAACTGACTTAAAACTACTGTCCCCTGGACAGCTGCCACAACCCCCCAGGATCTGTGTCCCCTCTTGGAAGACCCTGCTTCAGAGGGCATTCATTGTGAGGCCAAGCCCCAGAAAGATCAGAAGCCCACTGTCCACTTGTCCTCTTGAAGCACCCCTGTCCTCAGGCAAACCCTGGGCCAGCTCCCGTGGTGCCTTGGGACCAAGAGGTCGGGGATCCCCTGAGCACTTGACCTGTGACCTTCTCTCATCGGCCTTGGTTTCTGTCTTGCTGTATTTTCTCTCTTCTGAAAGGTGTCCAGTTTCCCTAGAGTTAACTGTGTGCCCCGATGGGAGCTGAGGGTTACCACCCGCCTCCTCTGTAGGCCCCGCCCACTTCTCCCCACACACCTGGCCAGGCTGCCTCGGGTGCTCTAGGCCTCTGCCAGGTGCTCCGGCAGGTGCAGGTAGGAGCGTTGACAAGGATTCGTCTTGCAGGCTGGGGACTGGGGACTCCTTGCAGCGCAAGACAGACGGGAGGGCACAAGGTTGGGCTCCTGTGCTGGTGAGTCCTGCCTGCCATCCTGGAGCTGAGCCAGGACACTGAGTGGGGTGCTCTGGGGAGCTCTGTGGCTGCACCAGACACGACGGGGGCTCTGCTGCCCTGCAGAGCCACAGGGAGCTCTGCGACTGGCCAGAACACGGCTCACTCGGCATCCAGGAAGTGACCTGGCACCCAGGGCTCTGGAGCCTGAAGGCTGGCCTTGAGCCCATTTTCTCGCCTGCCATTGGCTGATGAACCTCTAGGACCATGTGCTCACCTGTGGGATAGCGGGCTTGGGAGAGGGAGAAGGGGGGAGAGGGAGAAGGGAGGCGAGGCCCGCGGGGCTGTCAGTGGCCACTGCTCAGAAGCACAAGGCGCTGTCCCAGAGAAGCTGGTGGCGTGGCAGGTCCAGCAACCTCTGGCAGGTCGCTCCTTTGGTCCTCGCTTCTCTCCACTGAAAAATGGGGATGGTGATCACTTACCTGTTGGGGTCATGAGGATGACCTGAGCTAGGCAGCAGCCCTGGGCTGGGACCCCGGGGCCACCTGCTGCCCTTGTGAACTGGACGATTGCCGCACATAACTACAGAGCCTGGCACTGAGCAGGTGGGTGGTGATGGTAACTGCTGAGGTTCAGGAAGGGACAGGAGCAGCTGGGGACCAGAGGACCAGGAGGACGCACAGCAGGGCATCAGCAGGGCAGGGGACTGAGCAGAGAGCAAAGAGAAGCTCCTGTGGTGCTCCCTGCACTAGCCTGGGGGTGATAGTGGCCAGGGGACACAGGCACAGTGCCCATGGGGCACATCTCCATGGAAGGTCATCTTACTGGAAGGTTTGGGGGCAGAAACTTGAGTTATGATCGTGTGATGCGCCAGGATATAGAGAAAAACATGCTCCTTGTTTTCCTGGGAGGCATTCAGGAAGTTGAGTCCCCCCCACCACACACACACACCCAAAAAGTTGGAAAGGCTGATGGTAATAGAAGCTATCATTTATTGAGTGCCTGTTGTATACCACACACAAAAAACTTGAGGGGGGTTTATCTTGGGCTGCTGCTTCCTGCCGTTTCTGGCCTCCTTGGTAGTGTGAGTTCTTTGTATCTTGAAGGAAGCTTGAGTTATTCAGGTGTGAAGAACAGAAACAGAACCCTGAAGGGGCACGGGGGGACCCCACAGGGGCTGCCTGGCAGTAGGAGTTCATGAGTGAGGAGGTGGCCCCTCATCCCGACATGCGCCGAGGATTCTAAAGCCCTGATGGTGCAGGGGACAGGCCATCAGGATCAGGCCCTGTGCCCCCCCAGCTGACCCGCCCCTCCCCAACTCCCTGGCATTCTCCTGCATTGAGGGCTCTTTCTGATTTCTTATGCAATTCAGATGGAAAAGCGCCCGAAGCCAGCCCCCGCTGCGGATCTGTGCGAGGCCGGTATTCAGGGACCTGGATTTTTGACCAAGCGTTGAGATGTACACCGGGTACGTGATGGACGAGGGACAGGGCCTGATCCAGGTCAGCATGAGGTGGCGGTGACTGAGTAGCCACCAGCTGCAGTCCCTGTGGAAGCAGGCCTGCAGTGGCTCAGGCACAGGGACCATCCACAACACCCTGTCACCTTGTGAGCGTCACCTCGAGAGCACCTATCTGCTCTGGGGCTCCAGAAACAGTGGCTGGCAGAGGGAGGGTGGAGCGTTTGGAAATCCGGGGTTCTGTGAAGCGGAACCCCTCCCTCAGCACTTCCTTTGAGTCACAATCCTGTGAAAAAGGCAGGGACAAGAGGGCCCCATGGCCACAGGTGTCTGGGAGACGCTGGGTTAAGCAGCAGTGGCGTCCTTCACTACAGGACTTCTCAGTCCGACCCGGGGACCGGCCACACCGGGAGGTCTTTCCTCACAGTCCCTTGGCCGCGATCCTGCTTCTTGGGAAGCATTCAGGAAGTTGAACGCCAAAGGAAAAACTGTAAATGCCGATGATAACAGCAGCTATCCTTTATCAGATGCCTGCTGTGTACTGCGATAAGGACCACAGTGTTACGGTCCCCCTGTTCTGTGGGCACAATGTTGCAGAGAGGAATCCTGAAGTGTGGCTCATCCCAAGGCCTGCCCGAGGCTCCCCTGATGTTTGAACCCAGATTGGCTCACAGCGCCGCACCTGGGGCAGCTGCTCCAGTGAGCTCTTCCCTGTCTCACCCCACCTCTGTCCACCTGGCGCCCTCCACAGATGGGAACCCGAGGGCAGGCCCATCCTGCCGGAGCACGAAGCTGCATGCCCATGGACAAGGCCCAGGAGCAGCCTGGACTCCCTGAGTGGGGCCAGGCCTTGGAGCAAGGCTGCCTGTGCCTGGGGCTCTCTCCAGGGGAAAGGGGAGAATCCTGTGAAGCCAGGGGGTGTGGCTTGTATTGACCCCATGGACTCCGCCCCTCACGGCAGCTGGGCTGGGTTCTACCTCCATGCCCCAGGACCCGACTCACCATGAACCAGTCACGGGGAGCCCCTGACAAGGCAGGGATGACCACACCTCAGGATTCCTCTCTGAAATCCATGGCAGGCGAGGCTTTAGCACTGTGCCTGGTACACAGCAGGTCCCATTTGTCTCCGGGCCTGGTGACCTGTCTGCTCCCCATTAGAGGGAGGGCAGAGATCATGTCTTGCTCGCTGGTGGGGCCTCAGTGCCTGGCCTGTTGCACATGCTCAATAAATCCTTGCTCAGTTGAAGGGGAATTGGCAGAAACTGTTGAAGAGGGGTAGTGGCGGCCAGAAGAGAGTCAGGGTCATTGTCACTTGGTGACAGATGAGTACAGCAGCAAGACACCAAGAATTTATGGCACCCTCACTGTGTGCCAATCACAGGGCTAAATACAGAGAGCCGTGCAGTGTGAACTTGGCCCTCCATGTGTTGGTCTGTTTTCCCATGTGACAGGGAATACAAATGCAGACCTTTAAATGACAGACTACAGGGTCCCACATGGGCCTTAGGATGACAGTCGCCCTGGAGGATCCACAGTAGTAGCGCTGGCGCCGGCCTATCTTCCTCACCGCCACCTCTGTGCGCTGGCTCACGGGACTGACCTCACTCGCGGGGAGTGGCGATCAGGAGTGGAAAGCGTAATCCTTTTATAGGTGGGAAAATCGAGGCTCAGGCAGGTGAAGGGATGTGTGTGAGGTCAGGCAGCCGAGGGGTGCCAGTGCCGAGCCAGCAGTCACACTGACCACCCAGCGTTCTCCTGCTGACTCTGACTCCTCGAGCCCACATCCAGGGACAGAGCCTTAGCTTCCAGGCACGGCAAAGAGTGGTGGTTGGTGCCTCAGCAGAGGTCCGGGGTTGGGATGAGAGCACAGTTCACGCTGATTCAGTCTTGACCTTGACCTCTTGCATTCCCTGGTTTTCCAGCGAGGAAACTGAGGCACAGCTGGAATTATGAGGCTGAGCTCCGTCCCAGGCCTTGCCTAAAGCCAGTGTCCCCATACCTGGCTACGGGGCACCAGAATCCCCTGGGACCTTTTTGGAAAAGGGAGATTCCTAGTCCTGCCCCAGCCTTTCTAGAGCACCAAGACTGGTCCAGGGCCTCTGTGCCCGGAGGTGCTCCCTGGCTGTTGGATTGGGAAGAGCAGGGTCTGGGCGCAGGCGACATCCAGCCTGCGTGAGGGCCTGGTGGGTGGGGAGGGGAGGGTCAGAGTCTCTGCTCCTAGGGGCCCTGCCAGGCTGTGTCCCATGGGCTCTGCCTGCCTTCCTGCCATGGACCTAAACCCCACGCCATCTATCTGAAGCTTCACCTATCTGAAGCGCTCTCTGGGGAGTTCAGCTATTTCAGTCCGTCTGCTCCTGGAGGAAGGCCCACTGGGGACCGGAGTCAGGCGTTTGCACCATGTTGGTCTCTGAGTTTGAGGGTGCACTGTCATTCCTCTGCAGGTGTGGGGTGCTCTCCTTGCCAAGCAGATCTGTGGCAGGGCCCAAGATCTGCCCTGGGGCAGTGCAGAGCCCCCGGAGGTCTGCAATGAACAGAAAGAGCTTGATGTACCTGAGGGATTGAGATGCTGCTGTTAGCCAGGTGCCGTGGCGCATGCCTGTAATCCTGCAGCTCAGGAGGCTGAGGCAGGAGGATCACGAGTTCAAAGCCAGCCTCAGCAACAGCGAAGCACTAAGCAACTCAGTGAGACCCTGTCTCTAAATAAAATACAAATAGGGCTAAGGATGTGGCTCAGTGGCTGAGTGCCCCTGAGTTCAGTCCCCGGTACCCCCCAAAACAAGATGCTGCTGCTGGCAAAAGGCAGAGGAGGGACAAGGACTGAGGCACCTCCTAATTTTGAAGTCTGTCCTCTTAACCTCTCTCCCATCCTGGAAAAGGGGTAGCTGGAAACGACCAGATGCATTTGGGGAAGGATTTCCTGGAGGTGCAGTTACTCCTCTCAGAGCACCCCACATTCCCCTGCACCTTCCTCCCCAGGTGTCGGCAGAGGGAGCCCAGGACGCCTCCTCTCTGTCTTTCTGATTGGGAAGCTGAGGCCCAGAAATGGTGGCACCTTCCCCAAGGTCACGCACAAAGTTGGAGACAAACCCCGGCAAGGACCCGGGGCCATCTCTGCTGGTCCATGCCCCTCTTTGCTTGCTAGGAAACTTCCCTGCCCTGAGACACAGTTAGCAGTGCCTGGTGGCATCACCCACGGGTCCTGGGCCCCTGTGGATTGCAGGGCGGCTGACGGGTCCCCTCTCTCCTCTTCTGTTTTCCAGGGTCCTACGAGTGTGGGATCTGTGGCAAGAAGTACAAGTATTACAACTGCTTCCAGACCCACGTGCGGGCGCACCGAGGTGAGCGGGTCCCAGGCCACCCCTGTCTGTTCTCTGCCCACTTTCCCACTTGGGTTCCATGGGTGTCCCCAGAGAGCTCCCAGCTTTTCCAGCTCTGGCTTTTCTTTCTGCCATGGGGGAAAGCCAAGGCGCTGAGCGAGGCCTCCTTAGTGTGGGGTACACATGAGCCGAGGGGCACCGCAGGGCAGGCCGCCCAGCCTCTGCCTCCAGGGCTCCCTGCCCCTCCACCTGGGCTTCGTGCCTCCCGGGACGCTCAGCTCTGTGTGCTGTCGGCCACCCTGCAGGGCAGGTGCTCGTGTCCTTCTGTGTGTTCTGGTGGCAGTGAGGAGTGGGCCAGTGGCTGCTGCCCATTCTGAAGCTGAGGGCCAGGAGGGCGGCACCTGCCCGCCCCGAGCCTGGCAGCGGGGAGCAAGCTGCAGACTCAGGGCTGGTTGGTGTCGGGGTCACAGAAGGCCGCAGCACAGTGCTCCGGGCCCCTCTGCCAGCTGCTCCACCTCCCCTCACTGTCCCCGTGGCCTTCTCCCAGCTCACCTCCTTCCCACTCTCACTCTCTCCCACAGACACCGAAGCCACCTCAGGGGAGGGAGCCTCCCAAAGCAGTGAGTACCCCGCTCCTCGTGGTTGGGCTGTGGGAGGAAGCGGGGGCTGTTCACTTCATCCCTCAGGGCGCCCCCAAATTTGCTTCTGAGACACACATAGCAGGGGTCCAGCCTCTGGAGCCAGAGGGTCCTTTATATGGAGACAGAACTTGGTGCCTCAGAGAAGCCAGAGGGGGTCCTGGAAGCTCCGTTCTGGGGAGGTTAACAGGTGTTCTGTCCATGAGGGGTTCTCTGGCCAAATAACTTTGGGAATCCTTGAGCTGTAATTGGATGAGCAAGCATGTGGACAAGGTGCCTGGACAGAAGCAGCCCAGGCCACCTGGAGCGTCCCAGGTTCTTTGGGCACTGACTTATGTGTCTGGGGTGGTGGAGCTGACCTTGGAGAAATGCTGTTCTGGGGTTTCTCGTGAGCACAGCAGCCGTGGTCATAATTGCTTATTGGTCTTTGCCCCAAGGTGCCATATCCCAGCACCTGGGGCCACATGGGGCCTTGACATTTGCTTTGCTACGCAGGCTCAGACCCACTTGGGCTTCTGCCTGCCCCACACCCTGTGGGTCTGGTCAGCAGCCAACCAGCTGGGTGTAGACTGGGGTGTTCACCCCTCACTGAGCTTCCAGAGCCTGCAGTTCCTCCCTTAAGTGAATATCCAAAGGCAGTGTCTGGGCTGGGCTGGGGCTCAGCGATAGAGCACTTACCTGGCCTGTGTGAGGCACTGGGTGTGATTCCCAGCACCGCATATCAATAAGTGAATAAAATAAAGGTCTATCAACAACTGAAAAAAAAAAAAAGAAAAAGAAATGTCTGCGCATGTTCATCAAAGATGTAAAGTCGCATATTCTTGGTGCACTAACAGCTCCAAACCAGAGGCCACCCAGATGCCCGGGGCTGGCTGAGTGATCAGCCCGCATGTTCCCCTGCTGCCATGCAGTAGCATGGAGTAGGAGAGGCCGGGCAGAGAAGAGGCTGAGGCCACAGAAAGCAGAGCCACGGGGGACAGCGGAGCTGGTTGAGTCAAGAGAGGGACCACCGGTGGGGTGGGGAGGTGGTGGTCCTCGGCCTCTGAGCCAGAGGCCAGCCACGCAGGAGTGACCATGTTTGCTTACGATCCGTGCACTTTCCTGCAGCGGGGGTCAGGATGACTTTCTGGAGAGGGCCAGGTGCTGAGCAGCTCAGGCCGCAGAGGCCCAGCGTCTCCACACAGACACTCAGCCCTGCCCTTGTAGCAGGAACTCTGTCAGGGACGGTCTGCAGCTGAGTCCTTAACCAGGGGACAAGGCAGGACCTGGCCTGGGTCCCATAGTGTGCCCATCCCCGTTCCTCATGTTTATTACAGCAACATAAAAGTCAACATTACCAAAACCTAAATAAACCCAAACAAAGCTGGCGGAGGTGGTCTGAGGCACGCAGGGCTCAAGGAGGGCCCTGGTGGGGCTGGGTCCTAACAGCAGGTCTCTGAGGCTCGGCCCATCCACTCTGGATTCCTCTGCACTCGACAGGCAGGTTGGCTGGAGCTGGGTGGAGGCCCAGCCTGGCCTGACTCCTGCCTCCCTCAGTGGCTCCCTTCGTTTCCCATGGATCTCCCATGGTCACCACATATTTAAGCTTCCCCGTTTGTCCTTCCTCAGCTATTCTGGGCCTCACCTGTTCTGGGCCCTGGCCTCCAGCATCACCTCCACTGTGTGCTGGCTGGCTTCTGCAGCACTCGGGCCCGCTGGTGGTCAAGGCTTATGGTTCAGGGCTCCATGACCCAGGCCCACAGTGCTGCTTAGAGTCCTTGGTCAGCTCCCGCACCAGCCTCCTGGGAGGGAGGGGCCTCACCATGGGGTCTTGGAGCCGAAAGGGTCCTGCAGAGAATAGCACGTCCATCCTGCCGTGTTTCCAGGTGAGGACACAAGTCCTCAGGAGCACAAGTCCTGCGCCTTGGGAGCAGTGGATGTGGCCTGGACTCCAGGTCCCACACTTCCTAGAGACATCCACTCACTGCCTCCCCTGACAAGGTGGCAGTTGGCCCCACGTTGCTGCTGTCACATTGATTCTCTTTGTGAAGCAGCATTGGGTCACATACCCCCGGTTTGTCAGGCTGTCGGGCACGGTGCTCGTGTATTCCTTGTCACCACTCCGGGGAGGAAGGGATTAGCGCCATTCCCATTTTGCAGATGAGGCACGGGGACGAGGGGCCTGGTCAGGTGGGGTTGAGCTCAGGTGGCCTCAGCCTGGAGCTGGCCTCCCACATGGATTTGCAGGGCCTGTCCTGAGATGCCAGGCTCCCTGGGAGCTCTGAAAATGTGGTTTCACTAACAAAAAACCATTGTGTCGTCTTTGGGAAGAACTCTTGCCCTAATCCACCCGCCATTAGGAGTTGGGAATGAGGTCCCCCTCCATGTTGGGGAAACGTGATAGTGTGGGACTGGACAGGGCTTTCTGGGCACCTCTCAGTGCAGAAAGCTGGGAGCCCATATTTTACAGGAGGGGCCAGTGTGGCTGTGGCGACGGGGGCAGCCACTGGCAGGAGAGTTTCTGGGCAGACGAGGGAAGGGGGCCAGCCAGTCGTGGAGGGCGGCCAGCACTGGGCCTGAGAGGGATTTCTGGGTGGAGGCCTTTCTGGAATAGGCCCCCTCAGCTACTCCATCTCTGTTCCCAGGTGTCCACCAGTGAGTGCAGGTGGGATGGGCAAACTGGATTTAAGGTCCAGATGGGAGGCGACAGGGGAGGTTGCTCCCTAAGCTGGATTGCTGGCCTCCAAAAGTGAGTGAAGCCTGAATCAGGCTTGGAATCCTGGACTCACCAGCCTGGGAACGGTCCCGGGAAACAGTGCATCTCTCAGTACCGCCCCATACCCCACCACCACCCCTTGGAAGATTCTGGTACCCACCATCCTCAGAACACCTACAGGTGCCGAGGCTGCAGGCCCCTCGCTTAGGTGCCAGCTCATCTCTGCGGCCCTGGTGTCTGCTAAGGCCCTGTGGGAGTCTGCCAGTGCTGTGGGTGGGGTACGGGTGGAGGCTGGAGGGGAGATGCCAGCGTCATCTGTGACCCTAAGTTCAGGTAAAAGGGGGTCAGAAGCCTTCCACAGCACTGCTGGGTAGTGCAGCCTTGGGATGAGGATCTCATCAGGTCCTGTGTTGGAATGCTGAGGAGCTGGAGCAGGTCAAGAGGGAAGTGCCTCAGTTCAGGGACAAGGAACAGCTTATCTAGGCAGAGAAGGGGCCATGTGCCCCAACTCAGCCTTGGAGTTGAGTGAGCGTTTGAATCCTGGCTCTCCCCTCCCTCCATGCAGCCATGAGCAAGCTGTGGAACTGCTCGTTGCCCGGGGTCCCCAAGGAGATGGGATGGATGGGCCCTCCTTAGATCTGTGCTACTGCAGACGTGGGTGTTGCCAGCAGAGGGAGGGTATCATCCATCCTGTGGGAGTGTAGCTCAGACTTTAGGTAGACCTGGGCGTCATCCAGACTCGGGCCTGTGTGGTCCTCTGTGTAGCAGATGTCCCTAAAACTTAATAACTGAAAGCAACAAGCACCAGCTCATCTCTGCAGCCCTGGCGTCTGCTTAGGCCCAGTTGTCTCCCAATTTCTTTGGCCAGGAGTTTGAGCGTGGCTTCACTGGGTCCTTTGGTTCTGGTGCTCTTTCTTACGGGGCTGCATTCTGGTCTTTACCAGGTCTCATCTGGAGGCTCGACCAGCAGGGAGCACGTTCCTATGGTCATGAGCAGGATTCTCTCCTTCCCAAGCTGCTGGCCCCGGGGCCTCAGTCTCATCAGACGCTCTTGCACTGCATTCTATAGGCAGGTCACCAGGTCCAGCCCAGATTCAGGGGTGTCGTGCAGGCCATGGACACCAGCCAGTGAGGGTCACTGGGCCCCAGCTCTGAAGCCACCTACACTCCTAGCTGTGGACCTTGGGTCGGTCTCCTCTGGTCCTCAGTTTCCTCCAGCAGAAACGGGAGACTGCTTTCTTCCTCTGTTGCAAAGACTAACCGAGGAAGCACAGGGAAAAGCTGGCTCCTTGCACGTGCTCACCCCGTTCATGTGGAAGCTGCAGTGATTGTTACATTCACATAATTTCTGTGTCGGGAGGTGAAACCTGTTAGGAGCCCACGGAGGGTGGCTCTGGGAATCATTTCCAGGCTCCCTGGTCACCTCCACAGAAGACCCCCAACACCCCAACCCCAGCCCGGTGGATCCAGAAGCGTTCCAGGTCTGGCCTGGGGGCGGGGCACTGAGTGGCCCTGATGTGCACATGGGAGGGGCTCTGTTGAGCGATGTCCAGGCTGGGCCATGGCCCTCCCAGGTTCAGAAGAGGCCGCAGTGCCAAGGCCCAGATGCTCTGGAGTGGATTCCCCAAACTGCCGTCCAGCTTTGGTTCCAGAGGCAGATGCACTGGCCAGAAACCCCAGCCCAGGTGACGGAAGCCCTGGCCAACACATGTCTTTCCTGCCCTCGCAGACAACTTCAGGTACACGTGTGACATCTGCGGGAAGAAGTACAAGTACTACAGCTGCTTCCAGGAGCACCGGGACCTGCACGCCGTGGACGGTGAGCCCTTTCCACACCCTCCTCTCACCCAAAGGAAGGTCAGGCAGCAGTCAGAACCACAAGGGGGTGAGCCACCATGGAGGATCCTGGGGGAGAGAGTGTCCCCATCATTGTCCGCATATGCTCCTGTTAGGTGAAGCCAAGTGAAATCGCCGTCTTTACAGGTCAAAAGTCAGTCGAATGTTGAAATTTCATATCGTGTCATTTTTCTGTTTTATATTGAGCATTTGCATGCTCTACTGAAATTAAACCAGTTTTTAAAAGTGAATGATGACATTTTAGCATCTTAGATTATGGAGCTTGAAATTAGAACAATAAATTTAGGTAGTTAATTTGTAGAGTCTTAAGAATCCTGGAGAACCGGTAGTGGACCTGGAGAGCACCTGGGGCCTCCCACTCCGGTCCCGCCTGCGGCCTGTCTGAGCCGCGGCTCGGCTTCTCTTCTCCTCCGTGTCTCTTCCCCTTTGCTCCTGCTCTGGCCCTTGAGTGCACATAGATGACCCAAAAACAGGTCCAGGCAGAAAGCATCTGCAGGCCCCAGGGGGTGGGCACCTGCTGGGGTAAGGAGGGAGCTGGAGGCGCAGGCTGTCCTGGGGACATGCCCTCCCCATGGAGGGGACAGAGGACCCCTAACACCCCAACCCCAGCCCTGTGGATCCAGAAGCGTTCCAGGTCTGGCCTGGAGTGGAGGGGGGTGGCACTGAGTGCTCTCTGGCCTTCCACACTGGCTCAGGAAGCACGCCTGGCCCCAAGGGCAACCCCTGAACTGAGGCTGGGGGCAGGGGACAGTGGACAGAGGCAGTGACGGGCAGGGACTAACCGGGCTCTCGTCTGCTTCCTTCCCTCTGTGGCTGTTGCCTCCTGCCCTGGCACAGTGTTCAGTGTGGAAGGGGCCCCCGAGAATCGGGCAGGTAAGTCGTTGGTGGCTGCCTGCCTTCCCTGTCCCCTTCTGGGCTCCCGAGACCTGGACGACGAGGGTGCTAAGGACCGTGTGTTCTCCCACAGACCCCTTCGACCAAGGTGTTGTGGCCACTGATGAAGTGAAGGAGGAGCCCCCAGAGCCATTCCAGAAAATTGGGCCAAGTATGCGGGACTCTGGGGCCGGGGCTGGGCGGGGCTGGCTGAGGGAGGCAGGGCTGCAGCCCGTCACTGGAGCGGTGGCATCTCACCCTGCAGCCACAGTGCCCACCTGTCACCACTTGGGCTGGGCAGTCCCAGGACATTAGTTCTCCATGAGCTGGGGACAGCAAAGGGTCAAGGTCAGGGCAGTGCAGGTGGCCAGGCCCCGGGCTGAGCCAGGGCTCTCCCACCCACCTCTCGGTTGTCCTCGCAGTCTGAGCCATCCTGCACCTCGGCCTCCCCTCCTGTGGGTGAGGACGACACTCCTGCAGGCTTGTTGGGGGATTAAATGAGATCACGGACAGAAGCTGCTTGTCAGCACAGTGCCTGGTACATAGTTGGTGCTCAGACGGTAGCTTAGTCACTTGAAGGGGCTTAGCTGTGGATGAGGCTGTGCAGGCGGCTGCCTGCAGACACTCCGTCCCACTCCCATAAACCCCCTTGAGGGCAGGAGTCACCCCTGTGACCTGTTTCCAGCAAACTTAGACTTGAGCATTGTGGGGACACAGCAGTGAGCAGGACAGATGTGTAACTCACACGGGGGTCGGGGTAGGGGCAGTAGACAAGTAGTTAACCAGGCAGAGAATCCCAACCCAGAGAGGAGCCTGGGAGCCCGGGGAGTCCAGCCTTGGGAATCCAGGTTGGGGACAGGGTGGGGAATGAGCTCTCACATCACACTCAAAGGCAGGAGGGGGCGCTGGTTCTGAGAAAGGAAAGGAGAATTGTTGAGGAGCTCAGGTCTCAGGGCTCTCGGGGCAGAGGGTGGCACCCTGAGTTCCTCCTCACAGGAGTGAGCAGAGCCTTTGCCAAGTGGGGAGGAATTTGACCAGGTTTGCATTTCAGGAAGACCAGTGTGGCTTCTAGGAGGAAGAGGGATCTGGAGGGGACTGGTGGCCAGCCTGGGGAGGTGTGTCCAAGAGCATTTGCAAAACAGAGAACAAGGGGGTGATGGAATCCAGGTGGGTAGAAATCAAAGGAGCCATAACACCAACATCAGCTTGCCCCCCAGAGGGAGCCCGGTGCAGCCCAGCGAAGGCTGGGTCCCCCAGAGGCTTGTTCTTCCTGGTAAGAGGATGGTTCTTGGTTTTCTTCTTAAAGCATTTAGGAAACTGCAGAGGAGATAATGTCTGCAGAGTGGATGGCACAGTGCCCGCCACATGCATAGTGAACCCTTGGTGGACGGGGCGGCTGGAAGTCAGACGTCCCAGAGGAAACACAGATCTGAACCATACAGGTTCCCAGCATAGTCAGTGGGTAGGACGGACGTCCATGTCAGAATGAGGACAGAGGCAGCGTGCCATGCTCTCCCAACTGTCCACTGTGTCCCCAAAGCCCCACCCTTCCAGCTGTGGCATCATTATTTTGAAGACAGGCTTTGACTCAGGCCTGGGTATGGATGCTGGTGTCACCTTCCTTGGGTGCCTACCCCTCTGAGTGTCCCTTGACTTGCTTGTAAATTTGACCTGTTCTCCAGGGCTGTTGTGTACACAGAATGTCCAGCCCCACACCTGGCTTGGGCTGGGGGTGATAAACGAGGCATGTTACTGAGAGATGCTCTCCATTTGCCAGCTGTGTGATGTCCGGCGAGTTTTTTAATCTGTGTGACCTTCAGTCTCCTTAAGCTAACGTGGTGTGATAACAATAAGACTCTCCTTCCAGGATTGTCCTGGGGATTAGGTGGGATGATATGAGTAAGGGAATTAGCCCAGTCCTTGATACCTACTCGGGAAGCATTAGATCAGCGGGACCTGTTAACCCCAGGAAGATGCAAAGCAAGAGGAAACTCGTTCTGTGTTTCTGGAAGTATCTGATAGACAACCTGTGCTAGGACCTGGGAGGAATTACCACAGGTTATTAGGAGTGTGGAGTTGCATCAGGTCGATCAGACTGGGTGCAGCTGCCAGCTCTGTGTGATGGAGCGAGACAGACGCCTGCTGCCACTCAGAACCCTCCTTGGGAGAGGAGTGTTGTTTCTAGAGCTTCTGCAGCTTCTGTGCCAGTGCCACAGGACCTAGAAACAGCTAAACAGAGGGCATGGGCTCCAGTGGAGGCACGGGGCATTCTGAAGACCCTGGCTACCCCAGGTGAAGCTCTGCAGGTCCAGGGGAGAGGAGCAACCCTGGCAGCAAGCATGCCTTCCCTGTGGCACTGGCTGAGCAGTGAGACAGCCGCGTGCTCAATTAGGAGGGTGTTGGGTGGATGTCACCTCGCCCTTCAGCTGCAGACCCGAGAGTCACCACTGTGATCACGGGAAGAGGAAGGATTGGACAGTGTGTTCATGTTGCCTATTAAAACAGTAAAGTGGGATTCGTTTCTGGCTTACATCACCTTTGTGCCTGGATAAGGAAGAGTCACTTGGAAAACAAACAAGCAAGCGTGGGACCCCACATCACTAGAGAAAGAATTTAGGAGACTCCAAGGAGGAGCGTCCCTCTCAAAGTGATCTTCCACAAAACCTAAATGAAAAAATTTTGATGTCTTCAGTCAAGTATAAGGAAGCGTGACCTATCTTAGCCACTTGGGCTGCCATAACAGAAGACCAGACCTAGACCTGGTGGCTTCACAGAAGTTCATTTCTCACGGTTCTGGAGGCTGGAAGTCCAAGGTCAGGGTGCCAGCGTGACCGGGCTCCCTCTCCTCCTGGTTTGCAGATGGCCTGCTTTTCCCTGTGTCGTCACAGGGCAGAGAAGCAGGACCAGAGGTCCCAATGGACATCTGGAGCTTCTTCCCCACCTCAGAACCTCATCTGACCCCAACAGGAGGGACACAGTTCTGCCCGTAGCAGGAAAAAAAAAAGGAGCCTCAAGTTGTAGGGTAGAGAAGCAAAAGGGCAAGAGGAAGGTGTGAGAGGAGGAGGGTCCTGGCCAGCAGGACGGTCAGATCAGAGTGCAAGCCCCCACTGTTTAGGAGGATGTTGGGTGGGTGTCAGCTCGCCAGGGTGTCCAGGGCAGAATCAGCCTGAAGAAATGGAACTGGAGAGGGACATAGTTAAATTCTGAGGGTAACAAGGAACACGTGATGAATACAGACAGCAGGGGACCATCCAGGTAGCTGGTGGAGGGACACCACTGGGGCGGAGGCGGCACTCCGAGATCTAATAAAAGAAAACGTCGCTCAGGCGCAGGAAGACCTGGGTGTGCAGATTTACCAACTGCTCATCATGGGTCAGGTGGAGTCAATGTAGAGCCCTTTACCTAAATAAAACAGCTATACAGGGAAATGCCCTGCCGGCATCCAGGCGTGGGGAAGCCAGTCACCTACATACGAAGGCAAGGTACACTTGCCTCAGACCCGTGCAGCATGAAGTGCTGAAAGGGAAGAGATGTGTTTTAAAAGGGGGAGAGGATTAATCTGAGAATTTTTTAATCGATTATGATTAGTACATAAAAAAGCAAGGGCTCAGAAACATACCGTTTCTTAAAAAAATTATTCGAAACTCTGTTCCGGGGAGCTAAGCCGTAGAGCACGGGTAAGGGCTCGATTTTGTAACTGGTGAGAGGGGAGCAGGGATGCACTAAAGTAGGCTGAACCTTTCCTGCTCAGCGAGGAATACCACACTGGAAGCTTGCTTTAAGACGGATTCTTAGGCCCTAACACGGATTCCTGAGATCCGAATCTCAGTGGAGCCCCGTGACCTGTGTAAGAGTCTTTCCAGGTGATGTGTAAGTGAGCCCAAGTTGAGAAGCCCCCGAGTTAAACTGTATTTCTGTGTGATGACAGACTTAAAAATCTAACTTTCCACCTGCCAATTTGACAATTAGAGAGATATACCTTAAAAAGTCTATGGAAAATAATGGAATCTTAAAGCAAAGCATGGAGTTCACAGACCAAACACCTGGAAACCAACGGAACAAACCAGAAAGTGCATGAAAAGGAGAAAAGATGACAAGGGTCATTATTGCAATGCTTGGGACCAAAAGTGTTTTGGATTTGGGATATTGTTTCCCCTGACTTTGCAATATCTGCATCTACTTAATGACATACCTTGGGATGGGGCCCACGCCTAAACATCAGTCATTTTTTGTTTCCTAACCACCTTACGCATATAGGCTGAAGGTGATCTTATAAAATATTTTAAATAATTTGGTGCACGACCCAAAGTCTTGTGACGTGGAATTTTCTATTTGTGGCATCTGGTCAGCACTCAAGTTTCAGATCTTGGAGCATTTCGGATTTCAGGATTAGGGATGCTCAGTTTGTAAAACCAAATCAACGAGAGCAGTAAAAGCAAATGGCATCATCTCCTCTTTTAGAAGCCAAAAATTGTCAGGTTAATCTAAAATAATCCAATTACTAACAGTTTATTAGAGATATACGTGGTTGATTCCTTATCTTTTACCCTGAGCCATGCTCTTTCCGAGGTGCCATTTCCTGCGTCCTTAAAGAGATTTAAACCCCCCTCGTGGGTTTTCGCAGCACTTTGTAGGTTTCCTCAGAGCATCTGTCATGTTGCAGTTTTAAATTTGTTTGTGTGGCTACTTGGTTTTTCCGTCTCAGCTTCCTGACCAAAACTCCTGGAAGACAGGAATCGTGCCTGTTTTGGCTTAGGATTTTGTGTTGGCACTTAGCACAGTCCAGTCAAAGTGCAAGGACCGGGTCTGTAGGTGCATGCAGACAAATAGGTAGCAGAAACCAACAAATTACCAAGAAGCTGACATTAACGCCAGGCTAATAAAACAGTTCAAATGTTAGAGCAGCAATTCTTCACCTTCCCCATGCATTGGAATATTCTTGTTCCAACATACATCAGTTGGCTCCACACCTAGAATTTTCTTTCAGTGGACCTCGGGGGCAAGTAGGGAGAATTGGCATTTATGAGGTTCCCAGGAGTGCTGACATTGCTAGTCCAGAGGCTGCACTTGGAGACCTGTATTAGAAGATGGTTTCATGTTCATGAAGGATACACATGATACAGTTCATCATGAAGATTTTTATCCCGTAACCCTTATGTATCAAATAACATTGTGTCTAAATATACATAGTAAATTTAGAAATGCAATGAAATGGGAGGATTTATCACCACATTTTATCTTTGCAAGAGCAACTAGACAAACAAGATTATGTAAGATTTGAATAATAGAATGAATACAGTTGATTACTTTGAAGCCCATAAACAGCAGGTAAAATACATGTCTTTGCCAGCGTTCATGAGTCAGTTACAGAGATTATTTAACAAAAATTCTGAATCTCTCTATACTGGGAGTGGAAAAAAACTAAAAACAGACCAAGAAACCAGTTAAGAAAAAAGACTTGTAACATATATAACAAAATGTTGATATCCATAACCTACAGAGTTTATTGATTTAAAAAAAAAAAAGGCAGATAGACCTATTGAAGCACTGGCCATAAACGAGAGAGGAAATTCACAAAAGAAAAACTGTAGTTAATTAAACATGAAAATAATCAATCTTGTTAGAAATCAAAGAAATGGAAAATATGCCAGTCGTGCAGTAGAGTTCTCCCTGCTAGATCTGCCAGATGCAGGCAGAGGACCATACCCAGCGCCAGCTGCAGAGTACAGAAACAGTCCTTCTCGTGCCTTCTGGGTGGTGTGGGGGTGCTGTGCTTACCCAGAGCCTTAAAAATGCAAAAACCCTTTCCCCACCTCTTGTAATACACCCTGAGGAAATAACATAGGGAGATTCTGTGTCGTGACCTGTATTTTGCAATCACTTGCAAAACTAACAAGCAAATGTGCAAAACTTTCTGTAAGGATGTGGTCACAGCATTTTTTGTTTTGGGTTTTTTTTGTTTGTTTGTTTTTAAATAAGGGGGAAATTTTTTTGAAACGCTTTAAATGTCCCTTGGTGGAGGGGACTGGCTCAGCGAATTCCAAAGTCCCGTGGGAGCCGTGCAGCCAATAACGGCTGCAGAGATCGATACTTATTGACTGGGCAAGATGTCCACAAAGGATTGTCGATTGAATACACTAGGTTACAAAGAGGATATTGATCAGGGCCGGCTAATTCAAGGCCACAGGAGCCAGACAAATGATATCAAGAGAGAAGCATGCCCCAGAGGAGCAGAGTGCAGGGTGGGGCCGGGGGCCAGAGGACAGGTTCCTCTCTGCTTCCAGGGGGTAGAGGCTCTCTGTTTGGGGATTACAGGTGATTGAAATTTCTCTTTATTTTTAAAAATTTGTGCTTGTATTTATCAGTATTTTATAATTTTCCCCCAGTGAACAATATTACATCAGACATTTTTAAGAAGAAAGAAGTTAGGCAAAGCCAAAAGAGAGGTAAAGATAAAGTCTAGTGGGGCCTGAGAGGAAGAACTGACCTTGCTGCCCGTGGGAGGGGGGTGCCTGGGGACAGGGAAGGTCCCCCAGAGGCGGGACCCTGGGTGTGGCCCCTGCAGAGGGCAGGGCTTACAGAGGACTGGCAGAGGAGTGACATTGGAGGCCAGCTGGGGTCACGGCCGGGGTGGGCTTGGGTGGAGCCATGGAGGAGGACAGCATGTGCCAGGTACTGTTCTAAGCACTTGACAGACACATTTAATCCTCACAGCAATCCTATAAGGTGGCCTACCATTAACTCCATTTTACAGTTAGGAAAAGTGAGGCACAGAGAGGGGTTTGGAGACTTATCTGAGGGTACACAGCTCAAAATGGCTGAGCTGGGATTTGAACCCAGGCCTTCTGACTCCAGAGTTAGAGTGGATTCCAGCTGGTGGTCCCAGAAGGAGGAGGAGTGGGGTGGGGATGCTGATGTTTCTGGGTGGGGCCGGGTGCCCGTTCTCACACGTCCTCTCCTCCTTGGACAGAAACTGGGAATTACACCTGTGAATTCTGCGGGAAGCAGTACAAATACTACACGCCCTACCAGGAGCACGTGGCCTTACACGCCCCCATCAGTGAGTACCTTCTCCCGTGGGGGGTGGGGAGGGTAGGGTGGGGCAGCAGGGCCAGCCCTTGGCCAGGCTCAAGCTCTGCCAGGGAAGGGGGAGAGCCTGGGAGTCAGCTGTGGTCGCTGGATGTGGCTGGATCTGTTCCGGGGCCACCTGACCACAGGGGCTAGCGTAGCTCGGCAGGCCCCATCTTCATCCGGCAGGGTCAGACCCCTCCCGTGATGGTCTCAGAGGTCTAGGGCCCATGTAGACTTGTAGTTAGGAAGATGGGTGTCATTTGTCCAAGTTCTGCAATGGCCTTGTCCCCACCTCCTTGAATACATCCAGATCATGAGGTTCCTGGTTCCTAGCCCAGAGCCAGCATTCCGTGATGCCTCAGTGTCTGAGCAGATGCAGGGACTGGCCCAGCTCAGGGGCGTGGCTGACCAGGACAGACAGCCACCTCTCTGCCTTGTGCAGGGCCAGCAAGGGGGAGGAAGCACTGAGCAGGAAATTGGGGGCCCTGAGTGTAGAGGCTTGCTGGGGAAGTGGTAGCTCCCCTCTTGTCTCTGACGCACAGTCCCTCACTCCACGCCTGGCAAAGACAGGCCCCAAGTCCCCTCCCCGCAAGGACACAGGTGTCCATTCTCCTTCCATTCTCCCTATGATGCCTGTCGGCCCACTTGCAGATTTCCCAACACCCCTTCCGCATGTCGGAGGGGCTCCGTTCCAAGTCTGTGTGGTAGGAGACCCCTCGGTCCTCCACCCCTCCTGCAGAGGAGGAGAAACCTAAGCTCTGATGGGCAGGGCTTCTGGGGCAGCTCCGGGCATCTCAGGACAGCCGGGCCAGGTGTTGGGAATCCGTGGCAGAGCCGTGGGGATCCCACCCCACTGGATGGATGGGAAGACTCAAGTCAGGAGGCTAAGGGAAGCGCTCTCAAGGGTCCCTGGGGTTCAAGCCCCTCACAGTCTGGGAGACCCCAGACCCTTTGGGCCCTGTGAAGAGCAGCACAGCAGGGGCCTCTGGAAGGTGCTGGGTGGGGGCGGAGGACGTTGTAGGCAGCTTCCTGGCAGCTGTCCCCTGCTGGCAGAGTGGTGGAGGTGAAGCTTGTCCCTGGGGACAAGAGCTTCAGTCCTGATGTCCGGCACTGGCTGGGATTCCTGACCTGGCCTGACCCTTGACCACTGCGTGATGTTGACGGCTGTTCCCTTCTCGGGTCCCAAGTTTCCCATCCGTGGGAATTCTCAGGGCCTTGCAGCCCAGGGTGGAGATTTCCAGCACCTCCGGCAGACACCTGCGTGGCCCAGGTGCCCACCACATAGCCAGGTCATGTGTAGGGAGAGAACATAGAGTTCCTACCGGGTGGGCACCAACCCAGCCATTTGAGTGACCCCTGGTGCTGGTACGCAGATGTCAGGGCTGTTTGTGGACAGCTGTTCCCTGGGCTGTCCAGTGAAGCGGTGACTTCCTGGTGTCAGAGGGTGTGCCCCAGAAGGCACTGGCGTGAGGGTAGGTATGAGGCCACCTGCACTCGCTGTCACCCTGGGGCGATATCTTCAGCGCTGCTTCTTTTTTTCACATATCGAGTTAAGTGAGGTCAAGGAGCTTGGCTTTGAACCTGCCTGGACTCCAGGCCCACTCTCGATCGCTCGGCGGTCCCACGCTGCATGGTGGACGTGCAGTAAGAAGGGGACGCAGAGCTTACACCCTACGCTTCTTCCCGAACGTCCTCATGCTTCACTCCTAAAGGGCCTTCTCCTTTTTCCTGTTTCTTATTTCTTTTTCTTTCTGTCGTAGATCCTATTTATTTTTCTGTGTCTGTCGAGTGAGCCCCTGTTCCTTGCTGGAGTGTGAGGACTCTAGCTACATCTGTGTTTCAAATACAGCATGAGAGGTGTAGGCTCGATTCAGCAGGATTGGTTCTCTAAGAGACAGTCATTCTGAGGGACCATGGACAAGGAGATTTGCATGCTGATAGGGTCTGCGGAGGTCGGGGCAAGACGCGACAGTGTCATCAGGTGGGATCAGGCCAAGGCTTGAGCTCCTGGTCACGGAGGGGGTGCAGAAGGAACTAGGCTGGCCGTGGGCGTTCTTATGAGTGGAGCCGTGTGTATTTTTTTGTGTCTGCTGCTTTTGCTCAGTAAAATGTTTTAAAGACCCGCACATGTTATCGTATGTGTCCGTTTATCCATTTTCACGAGGGTCAGTATTCCATTGTACAGAAATTCCTGTTCACCTGGGTTGTTCCCAATTTTAGGCTCTTAGAAGTAAAGCTACAATGAAAATGGTCGTGTGGAGCTTTCTGAGAGCACGTGTCCATTTCTCTTGGAGAAGTGCTAAGGAGTGGACTTAGTGGGTCATGGGTATGTAGAACTTTATAAGAACCCATGAGCCATTTTCCAGCATGGCCGCAGCCCCTCACACACCCGCCAGCCACATCTGGGAGTCCCACGGGCTGCGCGTTCTTGCTGGTGTTAGGTGGCCCGGGGCTATCGGTTTCTACAAGGGGTTTGCCCTTCCCTGGTGACTGACTGTGTTGAACATCTTTGCTTTTGCTTATTGTCTGTTTGTACATTTTCCTTTGGAAGTTGTCTGTTTAAGCCGTTTGCCCATTTTGGGGGTGAGTCCACTGTCTTTCTGTTAACTGTAGGAGCTCTCTGCACATTCCTGCGGGCCAGGTCCTTTGTCAGACACAGGAGGCGAGGCTGTGTTCCCCAGTGTCTGCCGGGCCTGTGGGTTTTCGTGCAGTGCCTCCTGGTGCATAGGTGTTGGTCATTTTGATCAAGGGCTATTGATCGATTTTTTTTCTACAGTTAGCGCTTTCTGGGACCTAATTCAGGGGTAGCCTTGCCCACCTCAAGGTGGTGAACGCATCCTCGTTAGACAGTTCTAACTTTTGCATGTGGGTCTGTGAGCCACTTGGAGTGATCGTTTGTGAATGATGTGAGCTGTGTCAGTCAGGATTTGTTTCCAGCCATGCAGAGAGGTACCTGGGTGTTCCTACCCCGTCTGAGCACAAAGATTTCTGTCTTTTTGCAGTGCATCAGGTAGATGTCTTCCATGGGTCTCATTAAGGTATCACTAAGTATTTCATGTGTGTGTGGAGGGGTGTTTGTTTGTTTGTTTTCGATGCTACTCTGATTTTTAAATTTAATTTTCTAATTTTTGTTGCTCTTACCTATAAACAGTTAATTTTTGTATATCGAATTGGCATCCTGCACCTTGGCTGAAATTGCTTATTCTAATAGGAGTTTGTAGATTTCTTAGCCTCTTCTTTGTACTTGATGAGGTCACCAAGCTAAAAAAAGAGTCAGTTTTGCTTCTCTCTTTCCGGTCTGCACCCTCTTCGTTCACTTATTTTTTCTGACCTTGCTCGGTTAGGGCCCCTCGGCACCGTATTGAACAGGGGAAACCAGCCGATGCGGCCCCTGGCTCCCGGTCATGGGCGTCCGTTTCTCCTCACCGTGAGCATCAGCACTTCCGTCCAGGGGTCTTGTTGGCTGAAGTGGTTTTCTCGGGTGCTCTTTTTTGGTCAAAGTCGCCTTCCTCCAGACGTCACTGGAAGTTCTTATTGTAAATTAGTGTTGAGATGATGGGGCGGATGCTCCTCTTTTATCCCTTTAGTGTGGTAAATTACATGGGTTTTGGAAAAAAAAAAAAAGGAGGTCACCAGGCCTACACTTTATTCAGATAGATGAAGACCATCAGAAAGTCTAACTGTGATGAACTGGAGGAAGCCGCAACCTCACGATGTTCCTTCTTTGCCAGAAGAATGATCTCCTTCTTTAAACATCTTTTTTTTCTGATCGTACACATCTAGGGGTTCAACTTGATGATTCGATGTACAGGTATATGTGTGTGATAATCACCACACCAAGTTCTCGCAGAGAAGAAGTACTTGAAAAGCCCGGGTAGTTTGTACAATTAATTTGCTTTCAAGAGTGTGCATTCTGCTTACTCCTTAAAGAATTTACAATTTCCCAGGATTTTACCTGTTTTTTAATCACTCCCCAAACTCTCCAAGGGTGGGGAATTCAGTCCTAGGATTATAGAGTACCCCACATTCAACCTGTTGTGTATTAATGAGAGTTGTAATCAAGGAAATAAGTATTTCTAGTGAAAATTTTTTTAAAAAGTTATTGAGGTATATAGTCAAACAATAAAGTGCCTGTGATTTAAAGTATACAGTTTAATAAGTTCTGACCGACGTATGTACCCATGAATTGATTACCAAAATTCCAAACATGGACAATATGCCTCACTCCCAATACTTCCCAGTGTCCTTTTTAATTCCTCGATTGTCATCCCCTGGCCAACATTCATCTGCTTTATATTACTGTGGAGTAGTTTGCACTACAGTTTGCCTACAGTTTCACATATATGGAAACTTACAGGACGTGCTCTTTTTTTTTTTTTTTTTAACCTGGGGGGAAATCTGGCTTTCACTCAGCATAATCTTTTCCGGAATCATCCATGTTTGCAGGTATCAGTAGTTCATCCTTCTAATTAATGAACACAGTCACGCATTTGCTTAGGGGTGGATTCACACCGGAGAAATGCATTGCTAGAGGGTTTCATTGTTGTTCATTAAAGAGTGTGCTTCTACAACCTGAGATGGCCTTATCACTACGTGTTCTCATCTTATGGGGCCACCATTATGTACATGATCTGTTTGTCATCAACCCAAATATCATTGTGCATCATGTGACAAGTAGTTTCATTGTCTAGGTGTACAGGCCACAGTTTCCCCTATCTGTTCATTCATGGTTGGTCACTTGAATTTTCTTTTCCAGTTTGGTCTTTGTAGGAAGGATTATTTAGAAAATGTATTCCATTTCCAAGTATTTGGGAATCTCAGACTTTGGGGATTGATTTCTAATTTAATTCCATTGTGCTCAGAGTACATACGTAGGGTGACTGACTGCTTGTCTTCTGAATTTGTTGAGACATGTTCTATGATATGACATATGGTCTTACTTGCTGATTTTCAGTACCCAAATGCCTTTTATGTTTACCTGCAAGGAAA